CCGGTTTCCATCTCAGGTGTCCTCCTCGTTCCCAACCTTGGAGCCAACCTATTGTCGGTTGGACAACTCGAGGAGAAAGACTGCATCTTTTCCTTCGACAGTGGTACCGTGCAGATACGCTACCAGGGACTCCTCATTGCACGTGGCGAGCGAGTTGGTCGCCTCTACCGCCTCAAGCTCGACGTGAACCCAGAGTATCGTCGACTCCATGGCTACACCGCTGCCGCATCAACTACTATAAAGCCTCACCCAGGTACGGCTACCACACCCTACATTTGGCATTGTCGCTTGGGTCATCCTGGAGCATCAACCTCCAAGTCCATCACCGCACATGCAAGTCTTGAAGGTCTTCGCATCACACCAAGCTCCGAGTCTCCCTCCTCACGTTCTCCATGCCCTTCATGCGTTGAAGCCAAGCACACACACCATCCTCATCCCCCTGTCAATGTTCAAGTCTCAAGTCCTCTTGACCTTGTTCATAGTGACATCATTGGTCCTGCTCGCACGCTCAGTCGCACGGGCAAGCGATTCATCATGACCCTCATCGATCATAAGACACGTTTTGCATGGGTCTTCCTTCTTGAGTCCAAAGACCTTGTTCCCGAAGCATTCAAAGTGTGGCACGAACACATCAAGAACACAACCGGCCTTCAAGTCAAGACTCTGCACTCGGACAGAGGGGGAGAATACATGAGTAAGTCATTTCGCAATCACCTCTCATCCATTGGCATTGCACAAGAGCTTTCATGCCCCTACACCCCTCAGCAAAACGGCATTGCCGAAAGGTTCAACCGCACCTTGCAGGAAATTGCAAGATCTCTTCTCTTGCACATGAAGCTGGACGATGCATGGTGGGGAGAAGCCGTGAACCATGCCGCCCACCTCAAGAATCGTCGCCCAACCATCGCTCTTCCTTCAGGTATCACCCCATTTGAAGCATGGCATGGGAAGAAGCCCGATGTTTCCATGTTGCGTGTGTTTGGGTGCATGGCACAATACCGCATTCCCGATGAAAAGAGAGGAAAGTTTGAGAGCAAGACACGTTGGGCCGTGCACATTGGCTTGAGCAAGGAGAGCAAGGGCTGGATTCTTTGGGACCCTCTCCTTACCAAGGAGATTGTGAGCAGGGACGTGATCTTCCATGAAGACATGTCCCTCGCTCGATGGAAGTTAAACTATCTACCTCCTTCTCCCTCTCTCGAAGACCCTCTCCCCACTCCACCAGGACTCACCACAACACCCGCAGTGGAGCCCTCTCCAAGTGCACCTGCTGGAGATACCACACCATCTCCACCTATACCTGAAAACAACACACCTTCTCATGAGCAGCAGCAGAGTCAACATGAGCCAAACCACACGTCACCGCCTCTCTTCACCGACGAGCCGTCTTCGCTCCAACCCTCGATGGAGCAGCCCTTAATGCGAAAGTCAACACCTGAGCAGCAGCCAGTCGCAGAGAAGCTGTCTTCAACCGTATCATCTACTTCTTCACCTCCAGTCAACACTTCAACCATTATCCCTGACGCAGCAGACAAGCCGCTTCAACCCGTTCAACCACCAAATGATGTTCCTGAGACAATCACTCTTTCAGCACCTCCAACCATCCCTAACGGTAACACGAGTCACGAAGGTATCACCGAGCATTCACAGCGTCCCAAACGAGCACGCAAGCCAGTGCAGCGCTTGAACCTTGCAGTCGGTGCATGCTTCCCAGTCACAACCAAGTGTGCCGATCCTCACTGCATGGACTGCAAGGTAGTCGCCATGTGTCACGCCATCAGTTGCCTCCCACCTGAGCCATCCACTCGCAAACAAGCACTGGCAAGCGCTGAGAGGGCAGTGTGGGTAAAGGCAGAGAGAGAAGAGATTAACAGCCTCCTTGCACAAGGTACATGGGTCCTTGCACCACTCCCTCCTGGTAAGAGAGCACTAAAGGTTAAGTGGACATACCGAGTGAAAGTGAAGGGAGACGGTACACTGGACCGATTCAAGGCACGCCTGGTAGCCAAAGGTTTCTCACAGATGCCAGGCACGGACTACACAGAGACCTTCTCTGCCGTAGCCAAGTACACCACAGTCAGGTGCCTCCTGGTAATGGCCACAGTGAAGGATCTCCACATCCATCAAATGGATGTGAAGAATGCCTTTCTCTATGGTAAGCTGGACGAAGAGATCTACATGGTACAGCCCGAAGGTTACTCCGATGGTACCACCAACGTCTGCAGGCTGCTGAAGTCCCTCTATGGACTAAAGCAAGCACCACGAGTCTGGTTTCACACCCTTGAGGTATCACTCCTCACCCAGGGTTTCACCAAGTCACTGTTCGATGCAGCACTGTACATCCTACGCACAAGTGAGGGGGAGTCCTTGTGGCTCCTAGTCTATGTGGACGACATCCTCCTCGTGTCAGCATCCTTGAGTCTCCTGACACGCATCAAAGGTATGCTCACCCAAGACTTCATCATGACAGACATGGGTGAGCCCTCACACTACCTTGGTATGAACATCGTGAGGGACCGCACCACCAAGTCACTTTTCATCTCACAGCAGAGGTACACTGAGAAGGTCCTTTCAAGGTTTGGTCTCCTTAACTGCAACCCAGTTGAGACCCCACTCCCCTCGGACTTCATGCCAAGCTCACACGAGCAAAGCATTGACCCTTCCACTGTTGAATCAGAGGTCACTGATCTTGAGGGTGAGGTCGAGAGCCTTGAGCCTCCTGAGGACATTGGTCATGACACCTATGCACCACAGTCCACGTCCCACATCACACCCCTTGAGCTCTCACTCTACCAGAGCCAAGTGGGCAGCCTTATGTACGCCTCCATCTGCACCCGTCCTGATCTTGCCCATACCGTTGCCATGCTCTCTCAATGCATGACATCACCTACTCGCATGCATCAGCGTGGGGCACTTCGTGCCCTGCGCTACCTCAAATCATCCTCTTCCTTTGGTCTCCTCTTTCAAGGGTTTGAGGGTGCAAGCATGCTGTATGGCTTCACGGATGCAAATTGGGCTGGGGATATCCCTACTCGCAGGTCCACTGGAGGATACATCTTCATGCTTGGAGGGGCAGCCATCTCTTGGCAGTCAAAGAAGCAGAGTTGTGTGGCTTTATCAACCACGGAGGCAGAGTACATGGCTGCGACCCAAGGAGCCCGAGAAGCAGTGTGGATGAGAGGCCTATTGAAGGAGCTTGACCGCCCACAAGAGAGCCCTACTCCCATCTTCATCGACAACACGTCGACGATCGCTCTCACCAAGAACCCAGTCTTCCATGGGAGGACCAAGCACATCGCGACGCAGTACCACTACGTCCGGGAGCTTGTGGAGCAGAAAATCATTGAGCCCCTGTTTTGCCGCACGAGTGAGCAAGCGGCGGATTTCCTCACCAAGGTCGTTGCACGCGACATCTTCATCAACAACCGAGTTCAAGCCGGGTTAGTCCCAGCAGTAGGATTTGAGGGTACGGGCTTGCAGTGAGGGGGAGTGTTGTGAATGGCACGCTCTTCACGTGCCACGCTACTGTGCCACTCCAACCCCTTCCCCTCAAAACACCCTCGACACATTTTCCTAAGAGCCCATCCAAACCACTCAACTCTTCCAAAGCCTATTCCAACCACTCAAGTTACAAACTCCTTTTTTTTCCAACTCATCCTCTCCAACTCAAGCCTATCAACCACCTCTTTAACTACTCCCAACCACCATAGACTTTCCTAGTCCAACTCAACCAATATTCAAACCAACTTCCCATACTTATCCTCAAGTCCCACCATAAGGCACATGACTCCTCATGATTTTCCATGTGCTTTCCTTTCCTACTCATCAAAGTTTACCCAAGTCATCTACCTCCTCCAATTATCCTCCTCCCATGTGCCTTCAAGCACATGCTTCCACTTCCTAGTCATCAACCTCCACATGCCTCTCATTTATTCCTTCCATCATTCTTTTCCCAAGTCACCAAAGTTGCCACCTCATCCCTAAGGACTTCATGATTATCCCATCACCTCCTATTACAAGGCAACAAAACTCATCATCTCCTCCACTCATCCTTATCCAACTCACTAAGCTCTCTTCCAACTCAACAAGGCTTACATCTCCAACTCATCAAGTGCTCAACCACCATCACATGCTCCAATACTATTCATCTACATCAAGCATCTCTACAACTTCTCAAGAAGGTTCTTCAATGACAACAATGCATTCCAAGCTTCTTCACCAAGCTCATTTCCAAGCTTCTCCTTCAAGCTCCTCTTCTACTACAAAGGCTCCTCACTAGCAACCAAGTTCTATGTCTCCAAAAGTTGATACTCTCATGCAACTCTCTTCCAAGGCTACCATTGATGGTTACTCTCTCTATGCATGCCTATGTATCCCTCATGGATCTATAAGGCTTGTACTATACCTCTTTCAATATAAGTTTATGCTCACAAAGTGTCTCTCATTAGTCTACAAAGTTAAGCATCAAGTGAAGAGTAATCACCTCATACTCTACTTGAGTATAAGGTTCATTACTTCCTACAAGCTTGAGGAAGGATCATCACCCAACACCAAGCTTGATGTTCTTCTTCAAGTAAAGCTCTCAAGACCAAGCCATTCCTACAAGTCACCTCTACAACTATCCCTAGTAAGATTCATTTAAGTAAGTGCCTATCCCCCCTCTTATTCTCTCAACAAGCTCATACTCTCTTTCTCCATTTTTGTGTTTTTATCTCATCAAGCATTCCACCTTACACAAGTTTCTCTTTATAGTCCCAAGTTCTAAGTATCATCTTCTCTTCTATCAAGCTCATCCTCATTTACTACAATTCCACTGTTTACTCTTGTCTTATTCTATTGTGCAATCATACTCTTTTATCCTTATCTCAATTCTCTACACTCCTTTCACCAGTTGTTACCTACCCAGTGCCCACTCCTCCCCTTGCTACATATTTTCGAATTTGTTTCATTAATTTGTTGTTCCTCTTCTTTTCCTTTCAGCAACCGCCTCGCACTGCGCGATGGCATCGGTTTCTCATGGATCCCATAGAAGCGTGTTTATGCAAGACCGTTCGAAACAGCTGCGTGATTTCCGTGCTAGAAGAAGAGCATGGGCCAACTTCCCTGCCGTCCTCCTCGCGTGTCTCCTCCTAGCCCCCCGCCATGCGCGCAGCGCTACCACGCCATCGCGCGGAGCCCGCGCGCGCACGGCGGCGCGCAGGTTGCAAGGGGAGGAGCACGCCATGTCACTGTATCGGGTGCGTTTTCTCGGATATCCCCCCACCACTTCATCCCGTCATTCCTGGCGTCCTCCCCATTCCCTCCGTCTTGACCTCTCCGTGTGTTCCCAGCTCCTGCCGTCCGCGCATCCCAACCATTTTCTTACGTTTTATGCGCGTCAGAAGTTGTCTCCTGCCGGCCTCGCCTCCAAGCCATTTCCCGTCCCCATCGCCGCCACCGCGTTAGTCCATACCGTGTCACCCGACCGGATCGTTCCCACACGCCTCTTTCCCGCCTCCTGCGTCACGCATTCCCGCTCTTCCCTCACTCTCCCCCGCCCTCTGCGCCATGGCATGCGCAAGCAATCTCTCCCCCGCCCTTCCCACATACCTCCTCTCTTTCCGCCTCTCTCAACCGGTCTTCCACCCACCCACCCTCTCCTTCTCCCCCTCTCCTTCCCCGCCACCCTCCCTCCCGCCCCTCCGCCTCCCTGCACGGCCATTTCCCCACTTCCCGCGGCCCCCCTCCCCCAGGCGTGGGAGGACGCCTACGGGCTGTCGTCCCCGTCGCTGCTGCCGCCGTCGCCGCTCGTGCTGCCAGCGCACGTGCCGGAGGCGCCGCACCTGGTGGACTGCGCGGCGGGCGTGGCGCTGAGGGAGCGAACAGAGGCGGACGAAGAGGGGAGGGCTGCGCCGTGGACTGGCGTGGATGGGTGCGACGCGCGACCCGCATGGGTACTTGTGGGGGGCATGGAGCGTGTGGGGGGGGGAAGGGATCGGGGAATGGGAATTATGCGAGCATGGAGTCGAAGCATGGCTGTGGTTGCTGCTGCGCTACTGCCTCCTTGTCCCCGTCTTGTCGGAGGTGCAGCAGTACAGTGTGACTGTAACAGCACCACGCCGCGTGCCCCAGCGGTCGTACGCCCATCGCGGGTCGTCACCGTGCTTCTAACTCAACCCCCTCGCCCCCTCGCCATGTGCTCATCGCCATGTGCGTGTGCACCCCCCTGTGCCCCCCACCAGGTGCGCGGGCCCTCCAGTGCGAGTGCGCCCATGACGCGCCGTGTGCAGGCGGACATTTGGCGCCACCAGTTCCCGCCTGGCCCCTGTGACACGCACCGCCTGCTGCTCGTCGACTGGCGCCTCCTGCGCTCCATGCCCTCCTCGTCCCCTGCTGGCACTGGCGGAGCGGACTGGGATGCGCGGGGCAGCGCGGGGGCGTGGAAGGAGGGCATGGCGTGGAGGGTGCAGGCCATGGCGGCGCTGCTGGGCGTGGCCATGGCTCACAACCGCACGCTCGTGCCCCTGCCCCGCTCCTTCCCTGCTGCCACCGGCAAGGCCTGCTCAGGTGTGCTGGTGGGAAGCGGAGGAGGAGATTTGGGAAAGTTGACTTGATGAGGACAGCATATCTCATTTTAGTGAAATCTGGAGCTTACATTTCAAAATTTCCCATATTTAAATATATTATTTGTTGAGGTCTAAACCGTCTCGTTCTCTTTAAGTTCCACCCCTTTCTCCCCCTTCTCCCCTTTCTCCCCTTTCTCCCCCTTCTCCCCTTTCTCCCCTTTCTCCCCCTTCTCCCCTTTCTCCCCCTTCTCCCGCTTCTCCCCCTTCTCACCCTTCTCCCCTTTCTCCCCCTTCTCCCGCTTCTCCCCCTTCTCCCCCTTCTCCCCCTTCTCCCCTTCTCCCCCTTCTCCCCCTTCCCCCCCTTCTCCCCTTTTTCCCCGTCCACCCTCTCTACCTCTTTTCTTTCCTCCCCCATTTTTCCCCTTCCCCTCCCTTCCGCACCTCCTCCCCGCCCCCCTGTCACCAGAGCAACAGCAGGAGGCGGACTGGGCGTGTTTGTTTGCGCCCGTCACATCATCCGCGTGTGCGGCATCAGCAGCTGCACGGGTGCCGGCCAAGTGCACGGGCAGTGCGGACGTGGAGGGCGCAGCCAAGGGGGCGGATGACGTGGTGTGTGCGGGGGAGGGCGCGGATGGGGATGCACTGCTCAACCACGTGGACGTCAGGTGGGTGGGGGGGACAGGGGGAGACGGAGGGGAGGGGCAGGACGCGTGGGGGGTGAGGGCAGGGGAGGGAGGGAAGGACGAGGACCACGAGTGGGAGTAAGCATGGCAAGCGTGGCCCTGTTTATGCACGTCTGTGCTGCCCGATTTGCACTCGGACGCTTGAATTCGTGAATTCACGTGGACGCATGGAAAGCGGTACCGTGTTCCCCACTGTTTCGCCTTTTCTTCTCCCTGCTGCCATATCGCACTTCTGCATGTGCAGCCGATGGGGCAACCCTCACAAGGAGGGTGCTTACTCGCTGCTGGAGAATGGTGAAGCCACAAGCGTGAACGACACGCAGCTCAAGGTGCACTGCTCACCACCTTCACCACATACAGCACCACATGTCCGAACCCATGCACCTACCCTTCCCACTCCCCTTCAACTCACCTGTTTCCACTGCCATCAGCCCTTCAACTCGTCTCTCAACCTCCTGCCATACCGCTCTCGTTTTCCCATGCCTTCCCCCTCCCGGGCACCAACCGGCCATCAGGCGAACTGGTGGCGTGCACAGGCAGTGCGCTTCCTGCTGCGCTGGCCCTCCTTACACCTGTGCCATGTGGGCAACATGCAGCGCCATGCGGCGTTGGGCATGCATGCGGCGGCCCGCCTTGCAATCTTCAGGGGGGACCAGGCCAACCTGCTGCACTCCGTCTCTGCCAAGGCCGCTGCTGCTGCTGCTGCCAAGGCAGGGGGAGGGGACCCTGCACAGGCTTACTTCAACATGAGCCGCGAGGCAGAGGAGATGCGCCGTGTGATTGAATCCAAGGGTCCAGATCTGCGGAGTGAGGTGTGGCTGGCAGCTGATCAGCATATCCCTCTGAGCAACTTTACATGTGCAGTTGCCACTGCTGCTGCTGCTGCTGCAAATGATACCACCGCTGCTTCTGCTGCCGACGCTGCTGCTGCTGCTGTCGCTGCCGCTGCTGCTGCAGCTGCAGCTGCCGCTGCTTCTGCGGCTGCCGCTGCTTCTGCGGCTGCCGCTGCTTCTGCGGCTGCTGCTCCTGTTCCTGCTCCTGCTCCTGCTTCTGCGCCTGCGCCAGCACCTGCTGCTGAGGTGCCTAGAGTGAACGAATTATACGAGAAGGATTTGTTGCAGCTTGCAGCAGAGCCATACATGGTTCGACCAATCACAGGCGTCCACATGGCTAGTGCCTCGTTAGGCTTATTGAATGGCAGTGGTGCTGGAGGTGGAACAGCAGGCGTGGATGAGGCATCAGCAGTGAGTGGAGTGTTCATGTTCCATGTGAATCGAATGAGGCGCTACTCCTTTGACATGCGCCATGTCTGGATGGACACCGACTCACAGGTCAGCAGAGCACCCTCTCCCCCCTCTGTACCGTCTTCTATGGGATTCTGTTTGTTGCAAGGCAATTGGAGTGTATAATGGGCTCGTGCACTGCTCTGCACCATCACTCATGCACTGTGCCTTGTTGTGCCATCCCGCTTGCAGCCATTCTTTGATGCAGTGCTCTCATTCTCTGACTTCACAATCCTGCACTCGCGGGAGCACCAGCAGTCTGCATCAGCTGGTGGTGGCAACAAAGGTGGGGAGCTGACAGCAGCGCACCACCTGGCGCACCTCATCATGTCGTCACACTGTGACCACTTCGTTGGCTCGCTCTCTTCTCGCTGGACCCAGCTTATACACGACCTCAGGTGCACCAATGGACGAGCATTTGCAGGAGATGTTGCTGTTTCCTTGGATTGATGCCTTATGTGTACCTTTGATGCGCCCCCTCAAAGTGGCCCTTCTTCCCAAGCTGCTGCTCAGGTTTGCAAACGGGAATGTGACAACAGATGCTGGGTTGTGATTTTAGGGCCAGGTTTGTGTGGTTGTGATGAGGTTAGTGATTTCTGTTCTCATTTTGCACTTCCAAACGTCAAACGTGGAGTAAACAACAGTAGCGTCTTCCCCATAAGGTGAGCTTATGAAGGGTCTAAATGCTGCATGCACGTATAATTATAAGGGCCTAAATATATTTTACGGTATGTGCATAGTACAAGACTAGCCCTCGTACTGCTGCTAAGGATGGGGTAACAGACACTGCGTGGTTGATCTTCTCCAAAGCGTAATGTGCATAAGAGATGGGTATGAGACAGTACCGTGGCTGCTGAAGAGCAGACACCCTGGTATAGCAACGAAATGGGATCATGGGAGTAAGGATGTGTTCTTTATACCAGGGTAGTAATGGGCTTGCAAGAAATATTCACCTTGTTGCCCCCCCATGTTCGATATGGGGAAAACTTACAGGTGCAGGGCGGGTCGGGGTGTTCACTGATAAGACTTCAGTTGAAAGTTTGTTCATGGCTTGTGAGATCCAAGCTCGTGTTGGATTGTGATGTGCGCCATAAAAGAAAAAAACATTTGGTGCAGAGTGAATACTTCTTGTGTACCTCTTGTGCTACTCATCATTGTCCGAAAAAACCATTCCCAAAAGCTCGCGAGGGAATCGCCAACCCAGGAAGATTTGCAGTTTAAGATAGTATTAAGTAAAACATGATTGCCTTCCCTCCTGCAATCGGGTTTCACTGGAGCTGCATTACATATTAACCACAATTTACATAAAAAAAGTAATGGTAACCCCAATCAGGGGGCCTGCTGAGCCTCCGCACGAGGACAGCTGGCAGTATATAAGAACTTGACTGGTTACTGTTAGTGTGTAAGAGATTCAGGGAAATAGAGGGTGGTCTGCCGAATCTTGACCAGGAGCACGGTGAGAAGCCACTGCAAAACAAGGCACAAGAGTCAGTGGATGTCAGTCTCAATTTCGGAGCATACACCATTATCAAGAACCGATGAGGCAAAATCGACGTACCATGAATATGGTGCAATCCTGCTGCGACGATAACAATCGCTGCACACCACGAGGAGAAGGCAAGGGCGCCTACAACAGCGACGCATTTCGTTACAACGACACCAGGAACGAAGCCTCCTAGCAGCACTGCACCGACGTCCCACATGTGACCGGAATCAAAACGTTTGCGAACACGGTACGGACCTTCCATTGCTTCCATCGTGTTTGCGTGCTACCGTTGACAGGCGAATGAATTATACTAAGCGAGACTGAGATCATGAGCGTAGATGGAATTCACCAACCCATAATGTGCCATGAGGTTCCAATATATGGTGGACAAAAATGGTGGACGAGGGCCATATAGGAAACATCTTTCACACTGCCGCAAGCACAGGGAAGCTAACGAGGCACTCCAGCACATCTAACTCCAGTAACTGCTGTAATGCCTCCTGAATTCCATCAAACTTGCAACGCCGAGTCGTGTGCCTCAGCAGGATTCATGGTTCAGTTGAACAGCCCTCAATTTGCGGCGTGCTCTCGGCAATTTGACGAAAGCCCAGGGTCGAATCTTGGAGAGCCGACTTGGACCGCACTGCACACGTGAACCCAGTTCAGTGCGGCCAATATCATGGATACTCAAAGTATGCCAGAGAAAGTTTACATCGGTACTCAACCTCGATTTCTTATCGCTGATTGGTTCTCGCTTTTCGATCACACTTTCTCGCAAATAATACCTCCGAAATGTGACAGAAATAATACCTAAGATAAATATGAACAAATGTGTCGATGTGCTAACCAAGAAATATAAGTTGTATCAAGCACAAATTGCGATAAAGAACCATCAGGAAAAAGGATGCAGACTGGAAATTAATTTAACAGAATGGGGTCGACGGCACCATCAACCCTCAGTCAACCATGGACTTGCTGACTTAGAAAAGAAGAAAACTAAAACTACATTGAATGGCATGTTTTGTAACAATGGCATCAACCTTAAACGTTATGCGACAAGGTGTTTAAGGTTGATGCCATCCGGACTGGATGCCCTTCCGCATGGAGTTTAATTTTAATTGCCTGCCGGCAGCAAGCTCTGCTGGACAGTGTCGTTTGTTTGCTGTGATAATCCAAGCGGAAGGCATAGTTCTAAACACTTGACGGCTCATTTAAGGTTAATATCCGAGCGTTTTAGTATTTCTTCTGTTTTGTTGGGTACGTGCGGTCGAGGTGCTGGTCGCAACTTTGTTTTAGAACTGTGCTTAAAAATTAATCAAACAGAAAGTAAACTTACTATACCGAGAAAATGTTGGCTGATTACGTTCACCAACCGCACCTGGCATAATCTGAGTATCAATGATATTGGCCGCAGTTCAGTGGCCAAGCCACGACCTGCGGAACTTCCGCACCCCACAAGGTTGGTGATGTGTGTCAGCTGAACCTACGCGCAAGGGAAGTCACATCCACCAAGATTCTGCAAAAGCCGAGGCGCTTTTGGTTTTTCACTGATTGGCAAGCGATCAAAAGAGTTCCAGAGATTGTGGACCCCCTTTCTCAGAATCCATTTGTACCGTAAGCACCCAATCAGTAGAGTTCCAGACAGTGGAGAACCATGGGTCATTAAGATTACATTTTAGATTTGAGGCAAGAACAAAAATTGCTATGTGTTCTGGGTGTAATGGAATGAGATGGCGAGGATTGCACTACGTGTCAAACATGTTAGAGTAAAAGACCTTTGGATAGGATAGAAATGCCTTGAAAGAGTTTGGTAGCGGAAGTCTTGGTTTTAGGAACTTAGATCATAGTGAATGTAGATGACCAAGTTGATTAAAATAAAGATTGCACACACAATAAATAGTTTCTAGCTAGCCATGTACTCTGAGGGGTACATTCCCTTATTCTAACTATTTTACAGACATTTCTACAATGATTCTGACCATTGCACTACTTTCTTGTTACCGAGTCGCTGCATGTAACATGTACATACGGTTACGTCTGTTGCCATTCCTCGACGGTGAGTCAAACGTCGATCCAGATGGTCAACAGTCGCGACAGTTGACTTAACGACTGTTCACCTTCCTGCCTTTGATATAGGCTGATCCCACACTGTTGCTAGCGCTGCTCCGATAGGGACTGGTGAGATACTAATGCACCTACAGGAATGCCAAGTGTAATTCCCTTTATACTCCAACACTCCCCTTCGTTCCTGGAGGAGCGCCACGTGGCTCTTTCGGACGACTCCACACAGTCCGAGCAGTACTGGAACTTCTGACGTGGAAATTTCTTCGTGAGGAAATCGTCAAACTCTTATGCGATAGTCTGTGTAGGCTGTAGTGGGGTAGACAATATGGGGTACAACACTACTAGGTTTTCCTACTTGTACCCACCTGCTTGCTAGTTCATTCATTCCTTCCTCATTTCTTCACATGGTATAGAGCAGGTTCCCTAGTGGGAACACTTCTCAGGGCCCACCACGATTTTTTTTCCTGCCCGGAGCGCGCTTCGCTCTTGCCCGAGTCGCGCCTCGTGTGCCCTCCCTACCGTCGCGCCCTCTCACGACCCCCTTCGCGTCGCCCTTAGCGGCCCCTCTCACAGCCCTTCGCGGCCCCTTACGGCCCCTCGCGCCGCCCTTACGACCCCTCGCGCCACCCTTACGGCCCCTCGTGCCGACCTTACGGCCCCTTACGGCCCCTCGCGCCGCCCTTAGCGGCCCCTTACGGCCCCTCACGCCGCCCTTACGGCCCCTTACGGCCCCTCGCGCTGCCCGTCGGCCCCTCGCGCCGCCCTCGTCGGCCCCATACGGCCCCTCGCGCCGCCCTCGTAGGCCCCTTACGGCCCCTCGCGCCGCCCTCGTCGGCCCCTTACGGCACCTCGCGCCGCCCTCGACGGCCCCTTACGGCCCCTCGCGCCGCCCTTGTCGGCCCCTTCGTGGCCCACCGTCGCCGCCCCTACTGCAGCAGCCGCAGCCGTCACCACCAGCAGCCGCCAGCGCGCCTCGGCCCGACCCTGACGGCGCGCCTCGGCCCGTACCTGCCGGCGCGCCTCGGCCCGTCCCTGGTGGCGCGCCTCGGCCCGGCTCTACCTGCGCACCTCGGCCCGTCCCTGCCGGTGCGCCTCGGCCCTTCCTCACCACTTGCGGCCCTCTGCCCTCGTAAGAGCGTCGCCGCACTGCTGTTCCTGCTACTACTGCTGCTACTACTGCTACTGCTGCTACTACTGCTGTCATGGCTACCCCCAGTGTCCTTACCTTTGATGTTGAGGGTCGTGCTGTTGACTTCGAGGTCTTGCAGCTTTTCCTACAGTGCGATAGAGAAGACTGACTCTCCCTGTTCAATCTCACCTCTGGTGCCTCTCCTTCCCCGCCTGCTGATGCTGACAGCACCGTTCGCTCACAGTGGGCCACACGCGATGCTGCTGCACGTCTTGCTGTGCGTCGCCACTTACCGACCGCTGAGCGTGCGCACTTTAGTCAGTACAAGAGTGCTAAGACCTTGTACGACGCTGTAGTTGCACGCTACTCTTCCCCTGCCATTGCTGCTCTTAGCCGCCTCATACTGCCGTACCTGTTCCCTGACCTTGCTGCCTTTCGCACAGTCGCTACCCTCATTACGCACCTTCGCACTAGTGACACTCGCTACCGCGCTGCGCTTCCTGCTGAGTTCTGCGCCAAGAACCCTCCCCCCGTGTACATCACCCTCTATTAGTCATCCGGCTCCCTGACTCCCTTCGCGTAGTCAGGGACCACTTCCTCTCAGTTTGCCCCACCACACTCACCTTTCACCTCCTCGAGGAGCGCCTCCTGGCAGCAGAGAAGAGTATAGTCGCTGTAGGAGCCTCTAGAGGTGACCCGCGCGTCCCTGTCTTTGAGGGGTGCTCCCCCTCCCCCCTTTTGCCCTCTATTGCCTCTGCTGTTGCCGTCGAA